GTCTCTATAAAGCTATTGCCTTCATCCAGTGCTGAAGCTTGGAGTCTGTAGAGCAGGCAGTCAGGAAGGGAAGGTGGATGTAAACGGGACAGTGAGGACAAGCTGGAACCCATGAGGACAGACTGGAATTCATGTCAGTCTCCTGCTGCCCCCCATTTTGAAAACAGGGAGTCTTCTAGGTAAAGCTGGTGTCCTCTGTCACAGAAGGAAACATCTGGAACTGGGAACTGAAGAAGGACCCCACACCAAGGAGAGGAGCCAGCAGGTAAGTGACCACATCAACCTCGAGAACATTTATACTGTGGATGCTGCTTCACCTCCACCCTCCTGATCTCAGGCAAAATGGTTCTTGTGGTCCACGCTAACTGATACTTATGGCCTAAGCAGGTCAACGTATTCCTAAGCCACGAGACAGTTCGTGGCAAGATTCGATAAAGTGAGGTCGTAGGTATGCAGGTATTTATGTCACTGTGTATTCTCATCCAAATGCTTGAAATACTTTATAATTTAAAAATAATTTAAGGTGTGAATCCATGTATATCTATTGTAGAAGCTCTGTGAAAATGATGTCAAAATCCATTCCCTACCAAAAAAGTTACTTTTTGAAACCAGTTAAAACATTATGTAAATGAATAGTTTTTTCCACTGAATAAATTAACAGGCCTGGTGGAAACAGGAAAAAAAAAAGATCACTTAGAAGTACTGATTTATTAACCCAATTAAAAATATTTTACAGCACTTAATTACTTTCTCATATGTTACATTTTTAATGGAAATACTGTGACTATTTAAGTGAACTTTTAACTATCATGAGCCATAATGGAGAAATTAATTCAAAATAAAGACATGAGCTACAAAAAGCAGACAGTACCAACCTTTGTCAAGGATGGGAAGGGAAAAAACCCACATTGATGGTAGAGAGCAAGCTGATACAGCTTTGGGAAAATAGGCAGTGTTTGCTAAAGCCGGATATGACACATGTGCTGTGGGCCAGGCCTGTGCATGTGTGCTCCCACTGTGCACAGATGTAGACAGCACTCCTTATAATAGCCCTAAACTGGAAACCACGCACATGTCCAGCAACAGTAGAATGAATGAATATTTTAGAGTAGATCACACAATGAAATGTCAGAATGAACAGACCACAAGCAAGCACAGAGATAACAAACAGGTGCATCTCATGGACGACAAGTTGAGTGAAAAGCCGGACAAACTGCCAGGACACGCCACTGGTGTTTACTTTTGGTGTGTGGTGGGGGTAGGGGTAAGTAGAGACTCAGAGTGGAAGATTAGTAGGGTGCTGATAATGAATAGTCTGTATCCTAATCTGGGCAATATCACATGGCGGTGTGTTAGTGTGAAAATTCATTGAGGTGGACACTTGTCACTTGTTATACATGAAGGTAAAACCACAAATATCACAGTCTGCGGAATTATATCGTATGTGGCACTGAAAAACATTTATATTAATGTGGTTTATCATTTGAAAAGTGAGCTCATATAACCATTCTTAGTGTGGTGGCAAGTCTGGGAATTGGAATCATAGGATTCAGCCCCACTTGGGGAAATGTTATTACAATCTCCTTGAGAGCAGGTGTAAGATGGGAACCATAATGATTTGCTCATAAGTGTGTTGTAGAACCCAAGGAATCACCCTCCTCGCAGAACTCAGGATGGACAATGTGCAAAACCGCAGTGAAATGAAACTTCAGCGATGCCCCAAACGGCAAAGAACAAAAAAAACGCCTTTTGAAGTGAGTGTGCGACAACTGTGTACCCCATGGAGGCAGTATTGGAGAGCTACCCTTGCGATTAAGAGTTTAAGATGCTTAAATGGTATCTTAAGGTTAGTTGAGCATACCGGCATCAGAAAATCAATGCCGGTTCCGAGTCCCCCAGCGGACTTGTGGCAATACTGCGGTATCGTGGGACGTGCAGTCTCGGACGCCGAGGTCGCTACTTCTCCTTTGGACAGGCCAGGAAAAGACCACCTGCACAGGGGATCTGAATGCTCGGGGCCTACGAGGGTTGCGCGCACTGATGGAGTCACCCGGTGACGTCACCTACTGGGGCCGCCGCAGCGGTTTCCCTGGCGACTGGGACGCGCCCGCGCAGAGTCGGAGAAAAGGGCATCCGCGCGACCCCCTGCAGCCCCTGCAGCGCGTCAGTGGGGCGCTGAAGCCGCAGGGACAGTCTGGCTGTCCCGTGGCGCCTGCGCCGTGCTGCGGCGGGGCGCTGGCCAGGCGAGACCCGGGCGCCCAAATGCTGAGAGCCGGCCCGACCCGCGGACCCTCCCAACTGTAACGCCGCATTCCAGCACCCCCTCCAGCCCTGGTTCTGAGCCCTCCTGCTCCCCACCTCACCCCGGAGTCCAGGGCCCCCGAGACCGTGACCTTCGGCTGAGTGCCCTCCCCGCTCGTCCCCTAGCCTCTCGCTTTCCGACCCCAGCATCTCTTTAACCCGCCTCACCTCCAGACCCGACCTTCTAATTGTCACCATTCCCGTCCCCCTGGCGGCCAGCCCCTGTCCTGCGGCCTTCCTCCAGGGAGCTGTTGCTTTACTGACTCAGCGGAGAATGGAGTCCTTGCGTGTAAGAGGGAAGGACTTGAACTGAAGAGGAAATACAAACAATTCATATACCTAGGAAAAGTTAACTTCAGAGATAATCTAGTAATTTCAGAGGAAATAATATATCACAGACGTTGTAAAAATCACAACCCTTAGTACCGGAGAGCGTGCGATGATACTGGCACCCGTGTACACCCTCCAGGGTGTAAAAGGCACAGCGTTTCCAGAAAGCAGTTTGTAGCAAATAGTCATGCTCTTAGGCTGGGTGATCCTGTTCCCAGGAAATTACCAGACATGATCATAAAGGAGCACGGTGGAGGACAGTGTAAGCCATGGAGTGAGGAGTTTGTCTTTGTCCTAAAGCAGAAAGACTTACTGGGGGACGGGACACAATTAGGAGTTATGTTTGGGGGATTGTCTGGCTCATCTCTGGTGATGGATTAGAGGGGATGGAAGGGATGTGAGTAGACAATCTGGTAGCCATGCACAGTGTGGTGGTCAGAAGGTGGCAGGTGTCACCTTGAATAAAAAAGCTGAAGCCACCTGCCAGGATCGGC